AGAAGTTAACGTGAATAATTTAATTTCTATGAATTCTACTGATATCAAACGTACGTGTCCTCATTAATTCTTTAACCTAACCTTGCATACTTAACATGCAGCGGAACTTCATAGTAATTAAATTAAATCGAATTCATGTTTAATAGTAACATTACTTTTAAAATTAACTGTATTAGAAAAGACATAAAGCGTATAAAAATTTAAAAGTAGAGAATTAAATTAAACACAAAAAATATACAACGTAAATAATCGTATGTTTATAAGTTTCTTTTTTAGGTAATCATTTATAACATTTTAAAAATTATTTATTAATAATAAATAATAAAAATCCTTGCTCATTTTTCAAGCGGCAAAACTGTGAGATACGTAATATTTTTTACGTAGCAGCCATAGACATTATTTTCATTTAGTTTTCTAACGTGTTAATAATGGAAAAGCTCCGGACAGTACAATAGAAATCGAAGTTATTATGTGAGGGCAACGTCAATGGAGTGACTGCTATAATATTTTTAGTACAAAAGACTTCTGAAATCAATGTATAATACAATGACAGCAACATAACAAAAGGTACTTCATCACACTCATCGACTTCGAGGCCGAATGAAATCATAGAAACATTAACTAGGACAAAACGATATTATGAAACAACAAATTAAACTGGTGTACAAAAGTAATACATTGCTCAGAAACCGAGAAATTGGTAGAAAAAATTTGAGGTACAAATGACTTCTTAGGTACGATTTGTATAGATTTTGTAATATAACGGTTCTTTGCATCAGTTTTTAAGGTTATCAGCAGCTTGTTGCCTTTCTGACCCATATTAGCGAGATTATATAATAATGATAATGCATCTAATTCGCGTAACATAATTCAATGTTACCGATTCGTGTAAAGAATTTTTCAAAAAATTCGGTATTAAATAAAATACTTATTCATAATTGCAATATGCAATTGGTATTTAATGAGATTGTAAAAAAATAGTTACATGGAATATTTGGTGATAGAACCGTTTATAATAAAAAAATTTCGAAGGTTGTTATTTCCTGCAATTCCCAACAAAGTGCCATAATCTTGCTCTAACTTGTCTTTATCTAGATGTGACAAAAAGTTACATGAAACAGGCATATTTTCATTTCGAATTATAAAAATCATAGATAAAAATGACGTGAGCCAACATTACGCTATTCCAAGATAACTGAATGCAAAGACAACTTGCCTTTTAGGCCAAAGTGATCTTATTAAGTGTTATAACCAATAATTACATTTAATCCCAGAGATAAGAGACTGTTGAAGATCCCTCTTCAACAATAAAGATTAAAGCGCACATATCAATTGTATGTGGGATTAACTTAATTGATACTTTTTTTTCGTGACGTGAGAATTTTTTGTCCAGAGAAGTTGATAAAAACATTCAATAGTTATTTAAATAAATTCTTGCCCGAGACCGTGAAATTTATGGACAGGGGGACATACATATTATGTACGTATATTAGACTTCGTAGACATTTTTGAAATAAGTTAGATTCTATAGTTTACTGAACATCAGAGTTAGGCATTGAAACACACAATTACTTTTATTCAAATCCTTACTATATTTTAATAGTACAATTATTGTTTAGTGGTATTAAACGTTAAAGTAATTACTATGTAGATGAACAAGAATGGTGAATAATAGTAGGTCTAGAAATAAACATTGATTACAAACTGTACGTGCTTCGAACTTCAATTCACACGTTCAGTACAGCAATTGAAATGTAATCTAGATCCCACCACATAATTTAAAAGCAAGAACTAATTGTTGCCCTCTTGTCACACCATCGTATAACAGAAACAATAAAATAAAGCCATATTTGTTGTCCTCTAAACTTATCTATGCCAGGTAATCTTCAGAATGGGCGCACACCTTTGACGAAACTATCGCACAACTGTTATGCGATTGTCGATTATTTCGCAGCCAATTCAAATTTTTAATTGTACAACTAAAAATCGAGTATTGGGCGAATGTAAACTCATAGGTATCAAAGCGCTACTGAACAGTTGACCGATAGTTTAGTCAAAGGTGTGCGCGTACTTTTAATATTTCAACAGAAAGTTACACTCGTGTTTAAACAATTGTAAAATATGTATTAAAATACGTTTTGATGAAGCTTATTTAATATATGAAAACAGAGTTTTAAATACCTAATGTATAAACTTCGAGCTTCGTATCATATTCTGGGTGAGGCAATGATGTCAGAAAGGTTCAGTCGACGCATACAATACAATTTAGTGACTACATGATTTGTATTGTAAGCACTTTACAACGAGTCGTCACTCTTGTGCATAGAGGGGTCTTTTTAATTTACTTTAATGTTACACAGAGGAAGTTATCGTGTTAATTAGAAAAATGTATCTACATAACCACATCTATTAAGGTTTTTCCTCCAACATCTAACACTGACCGTGATCACGGGTCAAATCGTGTTTGCTCTGAGCTCACAGTGTTCACGACTGGGGCCATTCGGTCGTAGCGTTTTTAAAGTATAGGTAATTTGTTAACAAAGTAAAAGATGATCGTGCCTTAGGTTCGTTTTGTCAAAAGGTTTTGTAACGTTATTTTGTAATTTCTCTCATTTTTTTTATGTATTTGTTGACGGTGGAAACCCATGGTTGATTACGAAAATGTACTGTTTAATTGGCTGGCGAAAGGAATATCGATTTAATAATTCAGTTTGTAATATAGTTCCTTTCCTCGTCAATCATGGACATCTATAATATAGTTGATTTGCAGAATAAATTACAAATGTCACAACACACATTACTGTCGACTGCGCCAGCGATTGGCGGTGTGTGACTCAAGCCTTGATAGCGAGTTCAATTGTGAGGATTGCTGTGCGTTCAGTGCGTCGCATTCACGATACAAGCGATTCGTTCTCGGTAATTTATCGTTCGTACACAATGACAGCTGTAAACTGTATTGTCACGCGGAAGCAATTGACTTTGTGAAACAATCGCATTGTACAGATCAATTAGCAGCGGTCACGTATTATTCTGCTTTATCTTAAACGAATAAAACTATTTGCGATATCACGAAAGGAGTTAGAGATTTTATTTTCCTTCCAACATTCAAGTGTGACCATCTTAGATAACGTTTGAAATGTGTCTAGATATTGTATCAACTATTTTCCAGTAAAGGTATGTTATAAGATTTACAAACACAATTGGAATAATGTTAAAATTTATAGCAAAAAAGCTACTTTGTATGATTACAAAGTAAATAAAAATAAAGATTTGGTTTAGATAAATATCGGCCACGACTCTAGATACGTACGAAGTTACGACAACATTGTGAAATGTTTATGTAAATAGATTGTCATGTGATATTTCAGTTGTTACTCATGAAAATGAATTCCATTTAAAGGTCTTTTGGACTCAAAAACAAAACAATTTTGTCTCGAATTATATCAGTTTCTGCGTGGTATAGAAAAGCGATCGTGTTATAAGCATCCGCCATTTGTTTGCATCTAATGATAAAACAGGAAATATTAGCTCTCTGTGAAAGATTCCAGTGCAAAATCCCACGATCGTTTGACATTTCATGAAGAACAATGTCCATAAAATGTTCTTTTATCGTCGCGTATTGTCTTCTTTTATGTTTTATTTATATTGCCTTTTTGTTGTTTGCGGTTTATGTAGAACTGGACGTTTAAAACGATAGCTCACAAGTTGTTGCCTATTTGCACTGTAGCACATGACGAAATCACAAAGGCATCAAGTAGTGAACAAATTAGTTTAAAGCGAATATCTCAATTATGTTAATACCATCTTTCGCCCGTGACTCTGTCCGCGTGGAATTAAAAAAAAAACAAAACTAATAGCCTATGTGTTCTTCCAGACTATCCTTTACGTCTATGCTAAATTTCATCGAAATCCGTTCAGCCGTTTACGCTACAAACTCTAACAAACCTTACATCCATCCATCTAAACTTTCGCATTTATAATATTAGTATGAAGTATGAAGGATGATTGTGTACGTCAATGACTGCCAGACAGCAACAGACATACATACATATACATCAACATGGGTCTCATATTTTATGGAAGTTTTTGTACAATGCAGCAAATGACCAAGTTTGCTTACCCAATGTTAGTGATGGCTAATGAATAAAAGAGAATATTTTCTATTTCCTTCCACTCCCTCTCCCGGTATAAGGATTAAACGCCATGAAGATTTCGTAAGAGGGCAGCGATAGTTTACAATTGCGCTTCTATTAGTTATTGGTCGTGTTATTAAAAATACCGAATTAATCAATGTAGATCTACCTAAGAGTGTCACGGTTAAGGAAAAATATAAATATTGTCCTTACTTTATGAAGGTCAAATGTAATAAAGTTCTAATTAGTGTACGTTGTTTGATAAAATTTTTAATAAGTGATGAACGCTGAACCCTAGAGGCCATGACGTCGAACTCAGTCATAAAGGTTACAAAGACGATGGGTAATGCTTCAAGGTGGTTTGCAAAAATACAATTTTGTACAATGTTTACTAGTTAAGTGTGCAAATATTACATCTAGCAGTCTAGCACGTCTAGTTTAGTCTCATAAATTTTGCATGTCACAAGGTAAAAAAATATTCCTGCAAGGAAAAACATATCTGACCACAAAATATCAAAATCTCGAACCACAGATTTGCTAAATCACCTTATTCTAAACGATGCTAAGGTCTAAAACAGTTTGTCCAACTGTTTTTTCCATCGAGGAAATCCACAACGAGTATCTTGTTAGATTCAATAGTTTAGGTAAAATTCTTAGACCGGTTAATGGGTTATTTTACGAACAAAAGTGCACCGAGAGATGCTGTAAAGAGAAAGTCAGGGAAAGTTGCAGGTGCCAAGTGGCGGAGTAAAGACATCGTGCTGCAAGAAGACACGACAGAAATGACCCTGTTACGTGCTCAACAAAATCATATGGATATTTTGTTAACGAACATTAAACATTCGACATTTAACATTAGTTCACTACCTCTTGCGCCTTGTGGGGTTCCCCGCTCCATCGATCTCTCCAGTGCATCAGATGGTGCAAATGATTCTTATAGTGATGATGTCGGTTGTCGCGTTTCTTGCGGAAGTCGGTCGGCGAAGGTGGAGCGGTCAGGGACTCCCGTCGACAGCCAGCCAACATTATTGACGGTGGCTGCGAGTGCAACAGGCGCTCAGTTTCCGGCTCATCGCTGGAGACACTATCGGTCAGGAGTCGCCCCGGCCTCGACCCACTTCTACCCATTACAAACTCGGTGTCTTCGTTTTTCAACATTTCTGATATACTGAGGTCACTGCATAGATCCGAATAAACGATATGCGAATTTCAAACAGTTTGTCGCTTGGCGCGAATAAGATAAGCATAACGTATAAGTGGAGCACCGCGACGCGGAGGGACGTGGTCGCGAGCACCGCCGCTCGCAGACTGCGGTGCGATCCGGCCGCACGTGGCGCTGCCAGCCGCCGGCCGCCGTCACCGACGTCAACACAACCAACAGTCTCGTCTGCAGGCGCGTAAGGGACACCCTTCACGTCAAAACCACTGAGCCATTATTATTCACTATAAGTATATGTTAACTTGTTGAAGTTCAAACATAAAGAGTTATTCCAAAATTGATATCTAGGTAGTGCACATTCATAAATGATAAAATTTTAATGTTTTGTGCAAAAAGTGTAGAACAGTTGGATTATAAACTTATTATTTAAATCATATCTTCATTATAATAAGTAAGTCTGATGTTCACATATTATTATTAGTTTTTTTTTGTTACAGGAGAAGGGCCAAACAAGCAGATTGCCAATATTAGATGATCCGGCATAATCATTTTACTACTTTGGAATAACCTAGGCAGACAAATTGTATATTTCGCAATGTGTATTTTAAACTCACATAATAACATGTTTTATTACCATCAGTTATAATTTTCCCTATTTAAACATTACCAATCATGTCAGTTTCCAACTAAAGTATCAAACTCCAATGGTCCAATTAAACAGAACACAAAACATTAGAGCTAAAGGACCTGTACAACTTTACTATCATCAACATATTCAGTCTTAAAAAAAGACATATTGTCTACATTGCATAAAGCCATGTGTACATTTCCAAATATTTGTTATAGGTTTAATCAGTTTTGATATAGCAATTGTCTTCTCCTAATAAAATGAAATGACAAATATTTATAGAAAGACTAGAATACATGCTTATGGTATGAATGAAAATTTTAAAGTAAAAATAAAGAACGTAACATACACATGTGACAATAAATTGTGAAATCCAACCCAAAACAAATCTAATACAAGGTTTAATGGTCTTTAGTGGAATTGTTTTAATACAAAATCTGCAGTGTTCATTATTAGACGTTTCGATTACTTTCACGTCAAAATTATTATAAATGGTTAAAGTATTCGAATAATATTTATTAATTATTATTTATTCATACCTGAGGTTTAAATGCTATCTTGTCTCTGTAATCCGATATTTTCAATTCTTACACTTATCACAATATAACCACAAATTATTCACCACATAGTAAACGCTTTCACAAAATTATAAACCTAGATACAAAACTGGAGTAATCAATCACAATTAAAAATAGTGTACTGCATGTTATTTTAAGTACTATATTTTGTGGTCTCCTGGTATTTTGTATTTTTGCTATTGTTTAGTTTGACATTGAAAATGAAATTGACATTAACTTGACATATTGATCACCATCGTTTTACCATAGAATAAGTATTGTTTGTAGATGTTAGCAGGTAATTATTTTACCAGTTAAACACTTGTAAGCCTTCATGTAAAATGCCTCTACTAGTAATTAAAAATGCCTATATACGTTATTTTTCCAATTAATCAGCTGATAATCAATTTCTTCCACTCTCTTTCGGACTTTGGTGAACTTTACTTTGACTGACACTGACAGATTTTTACTAAGCTAATGTGTCAATATCATGCTGCCAGATGTCAAATAAATGTGCATTTGTGACAGCTCGGTAAATTATGATAAGCTTTCGGATAACCTTTTTAAAATTGTACTTTGAAAACAAAAGTAAAGAATTATCATTGTATACTTAACTAACATTTATAAAGATATGGAATTACCACAAAAAAAATATTACAGGCAAAGAGCGCATTCTAACCCTATAGCAGATCACTGCTTTGAATAGTAAGTTTCATAGTTCTCAGTCATTTTATACTGAAAGTTTTAAATATAATCTTAATAATTTTCTCTTGCAGTCCTGCACATCCCGATGATTATAATTGGTCTATATTGTTTCCAAAAACCATAGAAGAGTGTCAGAAAAAGAAACAAGTTGAATTTCTTGATGTAGGGTGTGGATATGGGGGACTTTTAGGTTTGTTTGTATCTTAATCGAAATTTTAAATATACATAATAATTAAGAGACATATGAAATTGTTTCAGAATTGTTCAATATGTTTAATGTATCTCATTACAGTGACATTGTCTCCGTTATTCCCTAATAACTTAATGCTTGGGCTTGAGATAAGAGTTAAAGTATCAGACTATGTGAATGATAGAATCCAAGCATTGAGATCTCAACACCCAGACCAATTTCAAAACATTGCAGTATTAAGAACTAATGCTATGAAGTACTTACCCAACTTTTTTCATAAAGGACAGGTAAAATTAATTTTTTTTTACCCACATCCGTTTTAACACATATTTAATGTTTTGCTGTTTTTCAGCTAAAGAAAATGTTTTTCCTGTACCCTGATCCACATTTTAAAAAAGCAAAGCATAAATGGAGGATTATTAATAAATGGTTGCTATCGGAGTATGCCTATGTACTAGCTGAAGAGGTATGTGTCTTGTAAGAAATATTAGTACTTTTTAAAATGTACTTAATAAAATTATATATTTTAGGGAATAATTTATACAATTACTGATGTAAAGGACCTTCATGAGTGGATGGTGAAGCATTTTGTAGAACATCCATTATTTGAAAGGATCTCGGATGAAGAGTTGGTAAGTAAATATTTTATATACAAATAAAACAATGTTTTTGTTTCACCCATTAGAAATTATCAATATTAAGTTGTTTTATGAACAACAATATATTTTGTAGAAGAAAGAAACATTTGACTGCCCTCAGTTTATGAATTGCAAAAAATAAACTTTTCATAACTTTATTGATACAAAAAAATATTACATTTTCAATATTATAATTATTATATTACTTATATTATTGGCCTGTTAACATGGTTGCAATAGCAAATCTAGCCTTGTATACTAAAGATCTCCTTTATGATTTCATTTTTATTTTACACCTTAATTTAAAAAAATCTTACAATTTCAGAAGTCTGACATAATCGTTGAAAAGCTATATGAAAGCACAGAGGAAGGGCAAAAGGTAACACGCAACAATGGTGACAAGTATCTTGCTGTATTTAAGAGAATACCTGATGGTTATAATGATAGTTAAATAAGAGCAATAAAATCATTTATATTCACACATTATGTTTTTATAAAACCTTCATACATTACAGCTTAGTTCTATGAAGCAATAATGAAATAAAATTTATTGGATATTATTTAGGAGATAAGTTTTATAACTGTAATAGTTTGCTTAATTTTTTTTCCAATAAGGTAACCCACCTGCTTAGTGGTCTTGAAATGTCTAAATTTCGCCGGATATGAGCAATAGCACTTAATATCCAGTCTTTTTTCTCTAACCAAATTTTGTGGTTTAGTACAGATAGTAAAACTGCAGCCCATACTTCAGATTGACTTGGATACATATGGAGGCCTTCTTTGGCAATAACCATAGCTTTAGCTCGATCACCAGCGACATGTTCTGCAATGCTAGCAGTTGCAAGCATTTTCGCTGAATTACAATCCTGCTCACTATAACGAGCAGAAATGATTGCTCGTTGAGCACAACGACTGGCGATTTTTGCCTTGTTTGACGCTTTTAAGCAATATTGGGCCAGACAAAACCACAGATTGGCATTACTCGGGTGGTTCAGAAGGGAATCACTTAACAATTTAATTCCTAATTCAACATTCTCGTCACCAACTAGGTATGATTTTAAAAATCCTATATCATAGCCAAAATTAGGGTCTTGCTCATATTTTTGTAACTCACTTAAAGCTAATTTTGATAAGCTTTGATCAGAATGGACAATGCCTAATGAGCAAATTGCAAATAAACTGTAAGGTGTGGGTTTTTTCTGCGATATTTGAATACTATGGAATAATAATGTTTTTGCATCATCTACACCCTTATACATATATGCTATACCAGCCATGGCAACAAGAAGATCTGCCTTTTCATTATCATTATTGCTCAGCCAATGCAGAGCTGTGTCATAGGCAGAATATGCTTCCTGATATAGACCTTTTTTATAAAGTGCAAGTGCTAATCCACATGTAGAGTCCAAACTTGCTTCTGTAATAGCCTTGTAACTGTTAATGGCATCATCATATTTTCCTAATCTAACATGAATTCTGCCTATATTCAAAAGAGTTATATTCCTTTTGTCATCTTCTGCATAATCAAAAGCCTTTTCATAGCTTTTTAATGCACTCCGCAAAAGCCCATTTCTTTCTTGTAATATTCCAAGAATAGTACATGCACAAGCATTATCAGGCTCAAAACTAGAAAACCACTCAAGCAAGTCTATAGCATAGGTTACAGCGTAAAGACCCTCTATGACATACTTAAGCTCAGTATTGTCTTGGCAATCTGCATTTTTTAAGGTACGGCAAACCCAATCAGCATAGCCAAGTGCACTCTCCTGATGGTAACCAAGGCGTGAAGCATGTCGAAATAGATCCATAGCTTCTTCTTCCCTAATCTTTTCAGCTATTATGCCTTGTCCAATCCAACTTTGAGGATAAGATGGTAATGTAGATTGTCCTCTCCAAAAGCAATAATTGGCAAGTTTAAAAAGTTGCAGTTTTACATATAATGTCCCTAGGTTACACCATACCTTCGCTATTGACCATTTACGTGTTAACAATAACGCTTTGATGAAACAGTGTTGGGCAATATCATATTTTTTCAGAAACATGCATATTTTACCCAACAAGTTCCAATTTTTCCATACAGAGGGTTTCATATTTATGCAAGCGAGTGCCAAATTGAAAGATATTTGTAAATTTACCAAATTTTTGTTTTCATGATAATAAGAGAGATAAACAGATGCTAAATCATATGATGTTATTTGTTGTTTTTGTTTTGCAACTCGGGAATAGCATGCCAGAATTTGTGGAAAAATTACGCTTTTTTCTTTTTTAACTACTGCTTCTTCAAAATCATCCTGTGTATTTTTCATATAAACAAAAGAATATTTGTTTGGTAGTTTAGTAATGAATACAAGAGACTCAGCCAACAGATTCCAAAAGCAGGAATATTGTTTTTTAATCATTAAAGCTTTGGTTAAATAATTTACTGCAAACTGGGCAGTGTCTCTAGCACTGCCATAAAGTTTAGCGTTCAACTTTTTCCTTGCAATTCTCATCCATGTTTCTGAAATTCCCTTAAGAGCCAATAATGAAGATGGATCAATCTTTAATACAGTTTCAAATGTTGTAATGGCATTCTCATATTCTGTAAGTAATGAGTAAATGTACCCAATTCTAGTTAAACAATGAGAGCTTCTTTCTGGACTAAGTGATATTACTTTATTATAAGCTTTTAATGCTGATGTATAGGAACCTCGAGAATAATATGCATCGGCCAAACATTCAAATGCAATCAAATTACTAAAATTAATTTTGATCACATTTCTGAAATTATTTATAGCATTATCCCATTCTCTTCTATTTAAATAATGTAGACCTAATTTGAAGTCTACCCACTCAGTCATTTTCAAACAATTCTTTGCATTATTTAATAATTCAAAATCTTCGTCTTTTAATTGTAATTTAGAATAAACTTCACTTAAATGTTTAATAATATTAGCCTCAGTATTATTTATGCTATAGGCTTTTTCAAAACATTTCTTTGATTTGTTTATATCTTCCTTGTAGTAATAGTAATAATATCCTAGATACAAAAAAGTATCTGGATGCTCAGAATCCAGTTTTGCTGCTTTCAGTAGATTCAAGAGGCATTTTTCATAGTGTTTTTGTTCCCAATAGGCAATACCCATATAGAGAAAATGCAAAGTATTACAGTTTTCATTTTCTAGCAAAGTTATCACCTCTGTATATTTTTTCTCTTTCAAATAATATAATGCTTGAAGTTCTAAATAGTGATCTGTTGGTTTTAATTCCTGGATTATATGATCAACTGGTTCATTTATTTCAATTAAACATTTTGCTAAATAAAACTGTTCATTTACACTCAAATTTTCCATTGGAAATTCCTTGATTACATTAACAGCTTGTTTCCACTTTTTTTGCTCAGCAAGAGACAAAAATAACATTTTCTTTAAATCATTAGCAAAGTTAATATCCTTTACTTTCGTTAAAAAGTTTGTAACAAGTTTTTGTGTCACTGGCCACTTCTTTAACTTCATTGTACATCTAATAATGAATGTAGTTTCTGTTACTTCCGCTTCTTGGTAATTAATCAAAGGGACAGACTGTTTATAAGCTTCAAAGTATAAACCTTTACTGTAGGATATCATGCTTTGTAATAAACCAGGGTATTTGGAGTTTTCAATTCCTTTTGTTATTTGTTCATAGTGAGATTCAATTGGAAAATCTAAAAAGGAATTATAATCAACAAATTTTTTACACAAATGTTTACACAGTATTTCTCTCAAAACAACATTTTCAGAGAAAAATGAGAGCTGTATCACTTCCATTGCAGAATGGTTTAAGTCTTGTTTTTGTAAGATTAATTTGCCCCATAATAATTGTAAAGATTCATTTGGTCCTGTGTTGTATATGTGTTTAAGAACATCCAAAATTACTGAAATATCATTCTCTTCGCATTGAACATCTGCTTTAAGCAAAACAAGCAATTTTTCTTGGGCTGCTTCATACAGTTTACCATCTTGATTTTTTGTCATATACTCAGCTATTGTTAATAGGGTTTTGCCATTTTTCAAAGACATTCCAAGCTGCCCAAGTTTTGTTATGCACTCTAATGCTTTTTCCTCATCTATTTGAAGTTTTAATATTTCTCCATATATAGGAATTAGTTTTAATTTAGCCCCATCATCATCTTTTCGTTCATAGTAATTTGCTAGACCAACCCAGGCTAAAGGATGATCAGGTTTTGCTGCAATGGCTTTTTGATATGCTAGTGGAGCTTGATCAGATTCATCAAGAGCTTTACCCAGTAAGACTAACCCTAAATAATTCTGCTTATCTTTTCTTAGGATATTTTTACAACATTCCTGAGCCTCCTTGAATTTCTTTTCATCTACTAATTTTCTTGCTTCTTTTAGTAACGATTTAATATCAGTCATCTGCAAAAGCATACTTATATTTAAAAAATACATAGTTTTATTTGCAAACTATAGCAAAAATACCAGTTTTCATTTTTTTCATTTGGAGCTCAAGTTATCGAATGATTTAAAAATCATAAAATAATTGATTAACATACCTTGTTGTTTTAACAGTTGGAATCTTTAATACTTAAGTAACTTTTACTGCTATTATTGCAATCACTAACATATTATTACACACATTAACACGAGAATACAACAGTTTATAGCTTCCTTACTAAATAAATTCGGATTATATTGTTGATTTTGTTAATTATTTAGCAATCTAAAAATCGTCCGAAATCTTAAAATCGTCAAATGCCGAAATTGACATATTGACAATTGACATTGATCAATAGCAATTGTCAAATACGTCGCAGATAAACAATGAGTTCTTCTGACTTTAACACAAAATGTTAATCTGTTATCAAAATAGATATCTGTTATGCGGTTGTACTCTGTAATACGGTATGTTTACATTTTGATTTAATTTATGTCAATGTCAAACTGAATAACGGAACTAAAGTTTTATAAAACAAATATTTTTTGTCCTTTACTTTATTTTACCTGTAGAAAAAATGTCTTATTTTAAATATTAAACTAGAACACAATTTTATTAGATAACGACTTTAATTTCGTTTTAAAAATCTGGAAATTGGTATTTATAAACAAAGATTGGTTCAATGGAAGTGTTATCAAGTTACGTTAAAAAATTGGGTATGTTGAACTGATTTATATTTAAGTTCTTTTTCGTTAATTATGCTACTATTGCATGTGTTTAAATTATAACTCTTCTATAACGTACCTACGTTTATAATAAATGAAAGAAAAAAACCTTAAGGTATGCGACGCATGCCTCGCATCTTTCTCCTAAAATCTACACATTAAAGTAAATTATTGGCAAACAATAAGTAAAAATATATACAACTCGGTACAAGCATTTCTTTTAAATAACAGATTTTCTTTCAAATAACAGATCATCCTTTAAAGGAAATAAGGGAGCGATCATTACAATTATTAACAGAAAAATTGAAATTGGGATGGCAGTTGGATGATGAACTTTCTTGTATACGGAAACTATTGGAATGTTTGCTGGCATGGTTTAAAGACCAAAACCCAACTTTGCAATGTGAAGCTTTATGTCTGCTATTAAAAACAATTAAGGCAAGTAACATAAGTATATTTGCCTAAGGGAAAAACAATTTCACCTGTGACTTTGAAACATGACATTTCTTCTATTACAGACTAAAAGTGGGACATATATTGTTAAAGAAATGGGTATTAACAAAATCCTAAGTGACTTAAAAGAAATAAAAAACAAAGTTGACAGTGAAGCATTGGCTTTGTTTGATGATGTTGTTGATACATTGTATTTCTTAAAGACAGTGGAATCAGAGAATGATTTAGTACCACCTCTTATTTTGGGATCTAGTACAAGGTTATGTATGTTTTTTTTAAAGTACATTTTCTAGAAGATTTTAGATGTTTCTATAGATATTTCTGACTTACTTTTTTATTATTACAGTTCTGAAAGTACACAGATAAATGGTGACTATCATAATTCTCAACATGAGGATTTAATAAACCAGCAAGATTTATTCAGTTTGAAATATGATAGGAAAGCAGAGAGTTCTACTATGTAAGTATGTTGTAGATATCTAATTCATTGCTGCACATACTGGCTATAACGAAATTTAGAAATAAATATTATTTGTTATTGATTTCACAGGTCAATCACATCAGATGGGATCAAAGTACTATTATACCCATGGGTTGATATTTGCCCATCCGATTTAAAGACAATAGTTTTGCTAGAAGATGCATTGAAAGTTGTTAAATCCACAAGAAGATGCTGTAGGTTCATACGGGATGTATTTTTACATGACTTTCCTCCAGAAACATTTCTTAACAGACCTACTATTGTGAATGTATGTATGATTAACAGTTAAACATTTTATATATTGAAGATTTTCTTTTGTAATATACATACATTCTTTTTAAGATACTAGTAATGATAGCAGATGGTCAACAAACTGGTAATCCTGGAGAAGCTTTGAATGTTTTGCTGTGTGTAACTCGTGCCTTACATCAGAGACTTGAACAATTATTCTCCATTGAATTAATTCATACTAAAAGAAAGGTATGGTTTATTCTATTCCTTATCCATAAATTTGTAACAGAATTTATTCAGCAGTATCCAACTATAAAATGAACTACATGGAAGTTGTCTAGAAGTTATTTTTTTTAATGAGTGGTTGATATTTTAAGTAATACAATTTTTAATATTGCAATTTTAATTCTTGTTTTGTTTGAATTTTATGTATTTCTAGGTTTCTATAGATGTAAAAGAATCATATGATGAAGTGAATGCTGAGTTGGAGAAGATTACAGGTGGTTGTAATATGCATGGTGTAGAAGATTCCCTTATACCTTTGCGACAGATTCCTGCACCAATATTTGCATTAAACACAGCTCATTCAGTGCTGTGTATTATGTCAAGAAGTATTGTTTTATTAGATCCTAATGAAAATGAAGCACTTGGGATGGTTAGTAATAATTGTTAAATAACCAGAAATAATTTATTGCTTGGTAAAGGAGTTGCTTAGTACAGATGTATTACACAAAGGCATTCTTTATGTAATCTTTGAACATATTTGTGATTCATAGTCATAACTAAACTTAACTGTCAGTCATCTATATGTAACATTTTTTTACAGAGAGAATTGAATGTATGTTTGGATTTGATTGATTCACTTATGCAGTTATTGTTGAAATGTGTTTCTGAACAATTTTGGACAGCAGAGCATAGTTACAAAACACATAAAGATATAGCACATAAAACATGTATGTTAATGCGAATGTTGGGTGACCTTTTGATAAAATATAGGTAGGTTTATTTTATTATCGTTTATAATTCATGCTAATTTCAGAAGGAAAAATATAATTTTATGTTTACTTACACAGAAAATCCTTTTTGGAGAACACAGAACGTGATCATCACCGGATAGCTTGGTTACGATTAATAGTTAATGCTGAGAAACTTCTTGATTGGGCTAAAAGTTCCCTGCTGCCTCCGTCTTCACTTATTGCCGCACTGCAAGCTGCTCAGTTGGACCCAGTTATTGAACTGCTTTATCCAGATTTGAGTACAAAAATCGACAACTCCCTTTCAGTGAGCATTATTAAGTGAAATGAACATTATTTTAAGCACTACTATACATTACATTTAAAATATATTTTCAGAATTGCAAATCAGTTGTAGATCAAGAACACAAAAATAAATACAAAGCACTCAAAGAGTTATATACGAGTATGGATTTTGCAGTTAAATTCATGAAGAATAAAAATACTGATAGGAATTTAAAGAATGTTTTAACAGAAATCAAGAATTCTATTCCGATTCTCGGTTTGCATCATAGTGAAGTTTTCTTGGAGGATATTTCTAATATTTTACTGTTTCAAACGAATAATATGTCTGATGATAATGACTGGTCTTTTGTCAGAAGTATTGCAATAAAGTTAATGTCTCATAACATAGAATGGGTTAAAGTAAAGTTTTATAAAAAGTTGGAGGTGATGGTGAATTCAGTTTTGTTCAATAATGAGGTATACCAAAGTGAACACGAGCAGTGTTTGATGTTGTTATGTGACGTTGGTATTTTGACTGAAATATGCTGCCATGGATTGTCATCGAATTTGGAACAGGTGCGAATGATCTTAGATTTAAATGTGCGATTCGTCTATCAGCAAGTTTTAATTTTCACCTTGTTTGTCTTTTTTCAATTAATATTTTAGGTAAGTTCTAGTGCATCAGAGGTGATGCTGTACTTGCTGCGCGGTAGACTGGTGCTAAGCGAAGGGTGTTGGTGGCGGCTGCTGGCCAGCCTGCTGCCAATCCTGCCGTTACTGCACGTGTACGCCGCGCATGACACGCCCATAGGTACGTCGACATACTTTTAGTCTTTCTTTTATTTTGCATATTTTAGTTAAAATTAAGTTTTTTTGTTAAGGAAAAGCAATATGCAAGTCTCTTGAACCCGATATAGTGGAGCGTATGGGCGTTTCGTTTGCGGAGATGGTCAGCGGTCTAACGAGACTTTTGTTCGTCAAGTGTGTTGTGGTACAGTTGGAAGCGGCGCACGCGCTTTGTAGACTTTTAGGTTTGTATCTCTTTGAAGAATGTTTTTTAACAAGTTAAATCCTAGTATAGTACTTTTTTGTGTTCATCCCAGTAAAGCCAACATACAATTTTAGACGATGACCGATATTTGCCCCCTCGAGAGTCTCTACGTTCCGATTTATTGTTGAATGCGTTACGAAGAGTGGTGCCGGAGGAATTTAATTTGGACTCCTCATATGTCGCAAAGAGTCCACAGGTAAATTGTTATTTGTTTTGTTAAACACCAGTTCAGATTTAAAAGTTTTAAATATTAACTTCAAATTGTATATTTAATGTTAGACTGCAGGATTAGTTCAAATATTGGAAGTATTGAAGCAAGATCTGCATTGGGAGGGCGTGAGCAAGTCGTACGTGGCGCACACGGCGCGGCCCGGCCTGGAGCCCTCGCTGCGGCGCAGCACTCTGCAGCAGTTGGCGGTGCTGCTGCGACAGCACGACTCGCATCATACATTCATACAACACGATGGAGTTAATCTTATCGTATCTTTATTAAGGTGAGATTTAATATAATCTGGATAGACTGAAAGCTATGCTAGAGAATGCAATAATATATTTTGCAGGTTATCATTGATGGTGGAGGATTACTTGGCGTTCCCAGAATGTGCCATCAGCTGCGTCTCCGTTCTAAACAGCGTGTGTTTCACCAGTCGACATAATTTGGTCAAAATTACGGATTTACCTTTACTTTTGATACGAGGTTACTTATTTTTTACTAAAATTGTTACAAAACCATTTTAATAACAGTATAAAACATTTGTTTGTTGTATATCAAGGTATTCCAGTGTTAAATAAAGATAATTTTGCAGTGATGCTCGTGTTCCCATCCAATGAGTCGTGCGTATCGATGTCGGCTCAGATCCTGTCTCTGGTGGCGTGGTCGGGCTTCGTGCTGCAGGACATCGACTCCTCGCGGCAGAAGGTCCCCGCGCTGCCGTACTGCGTCACTGAACGCACCTCTCTACCTTTTCATGTTACCAGCTATTGGAACACGAGTCCTAACGCAGAACATTGTACTTTGGGTTAGTTTAACTGCAGTCATTTTATCTTGTCTATCTATCTCTTTTCTATATTTCTATATTTAATATAACAAATCGTAAACACACGTTACTTCGTAAGACGTCAGCAATAAGTTTTTAAATAATTATTCCTTTGACAAAAAGCCCTACACTTACGACAAACATTACGCTATATATTTTTCGTATAGGGAGTAAAAAAAATAGGAAAAGCGTATGCGGGAAAGGGACAAATACTACATGCCAATAGCATCAAAAGAAGCAAGATTGCCATGTTAACGGTAATAATTGTTATCTAGTGTCTAAGGCTTTCGTTGCCATTTGTGCATTGTAATTTTTGACAATTGCAATCGAAACTTTTACAAATGTACCTAAACAATAAAATGTATTTCTTATAATTTCATACTGAAGTCGCATAAGAATAGCTAGTATATGTGTAAAGTGAGAATCATTTCTAGAATGGTTACTGAGTGAGGAGGAATGGCGTCGTTGCGTACGTATACGTTGGTGGTGTACATGGGCGGGCGGTGCGCG